AACTCATTACTCGTTAATTATAGTTAGGTATGTCGACAGAAAAAATAATCAACTGTACAATTAATAATTAATAATTAATGCGGTTAATTTCCAAGCCAACTGTGAGTGACCTAGGCCCGGAGAAGAGGCATACATGCCTTTCTCGGAGTGATCATGTACAGAGGTTCCTTTTATTTGTTTTTGAGATTGACAGACAACATTTAGTGAAAAGATTTTCCATTGGTCTGGCCCAAAAAGGCGGGACATGTGGGGGGGAAGGCTTGTAGGTTACAGGTGGGTTCCACAATTCTTCTGTTGGTGATTAGAAGGGAAGATCTGTGTCTTAGTTAAATAAAGGCTTAATTTACATCTCAAGGAAAAGGGAAGTTCTGTGTCTTGGGAAGAGATGAGCACAAGAATATACTATAATCAGTTGAAATCTACATCTCAAAGATACTATGCCAGGAGCAGGAGGTAGGAAGAATCCCGTTAATAGAAAGTAAATGGTCTGTTAACGTTTGTGGGCATGACTTCCCCAGTCCCCTTTTGAAAAGATTTTGGAAAAATAGGAAAAGTAGTCAGACTTCTGTCCACAGGTAGAGAGATGATAGATTGTTTGCTATAGGGTATATGCACTCTCCAGAGAGAGACAGAGAGGAAAAGTGAGAAATCATCCCATGGGGGTTGACCACTCTGCAATCCCTTCTCCCGTCTCCTCTAGGGATTTGGGGCATACATGCACATGAGCCTAGCGTGGTTTTTGATTTCTCCTGGTCTAGACTTGAAGCACTTGGTTGGTCATATGGGATCCAGCTGTCTTAATCTCCACACCACCTGCTGGTCCCGAAACAAACTATTCTGACAGAAAAGCGTGTGTATAATTTCACTTCAAAACTGTTCCCTCCTTTCTCTACAAACCATGTTGCTCCCTATTTTCAGAGGTCCACTAATCTGTATCACAGAACCAGTCACAGATAATCCAATGTCTCCTCTCTGCTTATACCACACAGTGGTTGCGTCTCTTTGCCCAGAACTGCTTACTATGCCTGACTTTACATCTTCTTTGAATATATTTGTACCCTTTTCTCATATTTTGTCTTCCTCACTTGACTGCAATTCCTCCCTACCAGCCATAAGGAGTTCCAACTGTTACTGAACTCAAATCAGGTTCGCTCACCCAAGCGTTGTAAAACTAAGCCATAGGCACATGGTGTGATGAAGGAAAGTACAACTTGATTGCAAAGTACAAAGCAAGGAGAACGGGCAGCTCATGCTGAAAAGACCAGGTCTCCCCAGATGTCCCCCACATGCGTTTTTAAGTGCAAAATTAGGGGCAGGGGGTCCCAGGCGCATAACAGTTCAGTGATTGGTTCAAGAAGACATGATTGTCTCCTCCAATTGGTGAGGCCTTAGATAATCAAATTTCTGGAGCTATTTAGTCTGGGGTCTTTGAGCTCAGAACCAGCCATTTCCAGCCTACAAAACACCTTATGTATTGAAAGGAAAACCTTATCTTTCCTTTAAGTGAGAGTTTTAGAGTTTTAGAGGTCAAATGTCCCTTATTCATGGTCAAAGTTGTTTCATTACCATAACTAAAGTCTGACCGCCTTACTCTGGGCCTTTACAATGTAAATAGACCTTATATTTCAAGAACTTTAGAAAATACATTTGGGGGGGGTGTCCCTGCTCTATTTCACAACCTGGTAGTAACTAGTATTTGCCTACAGACCTTTGAGTTCCAATCAAAGGCTTTGCCTTTTCCTCTAGTTTTAAAATCCCATTCAAATCTGTTGTCTTTCAACTCCTAGAACCTTGCTTAGTTTATGTCCTCATTCTCTCTCCCAATGACTGCAATCATATTCTAATGATCTATCTGGCCTTCGGTCTCTGACCTCTGACAATTCCCCTTAGACTTCCTTTCCAGTTATCTAAAGCATAGCTCTGATGATGTCACTCCCTAGTATAAAAGCCTCCCATGGTAAAGTCTCTAGCTTGCATCCCAGCTTCTGTGTGGTAGTGCAGTGATGGCACAACACTGCAATGCTGGAGGCCACATGATAGGTTAGGATTGGGTTCCCGGGTGGTCTTGCGATGTCAGATCCACAGTGTTGTGCCTGTGATTCCACTGGCAGGGGAGGAGATCCTGTTGAGGATGATTGTCTTTCTCATTCTCTTCTGTGTCTCTCTCTCATGAATGAAGAAATACACTTATAGGAAAACCCCTTGTTTGGCACTCATAGCTTTACAACCTGGTTTTATCCTCCCTTTCTAATCCCATTCTCAGTCTCCCTTCCTTCTCTTTATTCTATGAGCTACTGTTACCAAATACATCATTGCCCAATCCTTTTTTTTTTTAAGAGAGGTTTTTGCTACATGGTAATCAAAGGCTTTGCCTTTTCCTCTAGTTTTAAAATCCCATTCAAATCTGTTGTCTTTCAACTCCTAGAACCTTGCTTAGTTTATGTCCTCATTCTCTCTCCCAATGACTGCAATCATATTCTAATGATCTATCTGGCCTTCGGTCTCTGACCTCTGACAATTCCCCTTAGACTTCCTTTCCAGTTATCTAAAGCATAGCTCTGATGATGTCACTCCCTAGTATAAAAGCCTCCCATGGTAAAGTCTCTAGCTTGCATCCCAGCTTCTGTGTGGTAGTGCAGTGATGGCACAACACTGCAATGCTGGAGGCCACATGATAGGTTAGGATTGGGTTCCCGGGTGGTCTTGCGATGTCAGATCCACAGTGTTGTGCCTGTGATTCCACTGGCAGGGGAGGAGATCCTGTTGAGGATGATTGTCTTTCTCATTCTCTTCTGTGTCTCTCTCTCATGAATGAAGAAATACACTTATAGGAAAACCCCTTGTTTGGCACTCATAGCTTTACAACCTGGTTTTATCCTCCCTTTCTAATCCCATTCTCAGTCTCCCTTCCTTCTCTTTATTCTATGAGCTACTGTTACCAAATACATCATTGCCCAATCCTTTTTTTTTTTAAGAGAGGTTTTTGCTACATGGTGTGTGTGTGTGTGTGTCTCTCCAGAAATAGAGAGGAAAGGGAGGGATGGCTACACTGCAACCCCTTCTCTGTTTTCCTCTCAGAATCTCGGACATGCAGGCACATACACGTGCTGGTACTCTGCGTGAGTTTAAGCCTCCTGTTTGGGACTTGAACTGCGGTTGACTACGTGGGAGTCCAGTGAAGTAACCATTACACCAACTGCTGGTCCCAATCATATATCCTGTATTTGTTTTGTTTTTTCCTTCGAGTGACTTGAGGGCAGGTAGGGCCACAGGCTAGTAAGTGGAGTGTGAGAGCAACCTTCCCTGGGAAATAAGTGTTTTTTGTTTTGCTATAGGGCACGAGAACTCCCCAGAAAGAGAGAGACAGAGAGACAGAAAGTGAGAAATCAATCCCCCGCAATCCCTTCTCCATTCTCTCGGGATCTTGGGTATACATGCACATGTGCCCGGCGTGAGTTTAAGTCACCAGGTCCGAGACTTGAACTGCGGTCTATTACATGGGAGTCCAGCGACAGCCATTATGCCAACTGCTGGTCCTGGGAGATAAGTATTTCTAATGACACAGGGCATAGGCAATTGTCCCGCTGGGTTCATGAAAAGGTTCAAATTCTTTAACCTCAGACATCCTCTTTACCTGAAATAACTTCCTGGAGTTAGAGTCCTGACACCTAATAATAAAACCATTCTGTCTACAAAAGAAATCAAAATTTGTAATCTCTGAGGCTGCGAAGTTATGCCTCTAAATCAGCTTTATCAAACTGGACAATCTACGTACCTCATTCAGCGACTAACTGTACTTCTTCTGTGCATTTAGCTATTAGACTTTTTTATTTTATTTATTTTAAAAAAAGAATTATTTAATTTTATTTATTCATTCATTTATTTTAATTTGACCAGAGAGAGACAGAGTGAGTGAGAAAATAAGAAAGCAAGCCACCAGGTCCAGGACTCAAACCGTGGTCACATGGGAGAGCATCCAGCACCTTAGCCACCACACCACCTGCTGGTCCCACTATTAGACTTTATTAAAAGGAAACTTTATAAGTGAGGAATACCTGTGCTTCCTTACGTATGCCTATATATTTGATAAGGATACTGTATTTTGAACTTGTAGTGACTGGGTTTTCTTTTGTAACTACTAGCCGTTAATTTCACCGATTATCGATCCTGGATCTGTCCCGGAATCTCAATCTACTCTTGCCACCACTGGCAATAGGGCAGGTCGCTCTTCAGAGGTCAACCCTCCGAGACCACTCTGTCGTTACAGTTAGCTCTCTGCGCCGCACCACTCCGGGCGCGCGTGGCCACTTCGCCCTTCATTAACCTACCAGCACCTGATTGCGGGGCAGCAGGATGTCTGGCAGCTCGGACATCAGTGGCCCCAGAACCGCTGCCTCTTCCAGCCAGCCTCGGGCTGGGGGACTCCCGCAATGCCGGCCGGGGAGCCAGGGTTGAAGGAGGAGGCGGGCACGCCGCGCCCCGCCCACCGAGGGCAGCGTCGCTGGTGGGAACCGGAGCACCTCGCAGGCTTGGCCCTCCGCGCCGCGCCGACGCCGGATGCGCTCGGGGCTGACCCGCGTGGCCCGGCCCTCTCCGCGCGGTGGGG